AAAAAAAAGACTGAATCTCTGTAACAACTTTCAATTGTCTTCAATCAATTTCGTCAGCCTTTACATTCCTTTGATTAAAACTTTTATTATCTTCACCAAATGTCTGTAAATAATAAAGCCTTTTACTGTTTAATACTGTGTCAAACATTAAATGAAACTGTAAAACGCACTGAGAAAATATAAGCATTATTATGATGAACTACTTTGAACTTCAAAAAACTATGTTGGCAAAAGCCATATCACAAACCACAAAGAGAGAGAGACTATCACTTTTGCTTAAAAATGCTAGATCAAAAAAGTTTCATCGGAACTAAGAAATCTCTAAAAATTTGTTAATAACTATTGTTCCTGCTTCTACTTCTTTTATTTTCTCGTTTGCGCTGAAAAAAATTTTGTTTTTGCGAGTACATCGTTGGTTACTATTACCATTTATTGCAGCTGCTGGCCACCTTGATCACCAATTTTTTTGGTAAGTTTGTGGATAAACAACTTATTATGCTTTTGATAAAAAGGCATACAAAGGAATCATCTGAAACAATTTTGTTGAAAAGACGACGAGAGCAGATAAGTTAGAACATCGCCAAAGTAAACATATGAAAAGGTATAAAACAAAGAAAAAACATGTAATTAGCGTTGAATTACATAAATACGGTAGAATCAAAGTTGTCTAAGATTCGACAGTTTAATAACACTCAAAGTTAATACGCTGTTTTTTCCATGTAAAACTTATAGAACAGTCAACGACATAATTTCCCTTGCTAAATTGTACTTGTATACGATCAACAAAACTTAAAAGTGTTGTAAAGACATCAAATGTCTGCGCAGTTTACTAATAAAAGGTTAAATTGCCAAAATTAGTTCAAATATAGTGTAGAAATTATCAAACTACGTTTTTGTTATTTTGTTATTTTTGGTATTAAATCTTACAAATTTTTTTTAGAATAACCCTTTGTAATACATAAGAGTGAACAGTTGTTGAATAATCCTCTGACATTTACGTTTTTTACTGTTCACATCCTATTTAATAAAACACTAAAAAAAGTTAGCTTTTTATAAACTGTTATCTTTCGCAACATATTTTTCTTTAGGTAAAGTTTTTGAGACCAAAATATTAAACAGCAGGAAACTGTAACAAAATTGCATTCTGAGAGAGTATAAAATAAATTAACAAAATTTTACTGAGCAAAAAAGAATCACTGTTCTTAAAATCTTTCTCAAAATGTTAAATTTTCTTATTAAAAAAAATTATTTTTTTAATATCATCTAAGATACTGCTGTACAAAGCAACTTTACTTAGGTGCTGCAGTAAAAATTTGGTTGCAAAAGCAGAACAAAATAGGCAATCAGAAAACCGCTGCTGTACTTTTAATCATTTATTTATTTTTTTTTTGCAAACAAATATCGCTTTTAAATTAAAGCGTTTATAAAACATTTAATACTTAAAAATTGTTGACGAACTGAAAAGTAAGTTATCGTTGTTGTTTTATGTACCTAACTTGTTATTTTAAAATTAAAAGTAAGTTGTCTGAACAAAAAAAAACCTTCTTTAAAGAGTTAAGAAAACTTGACAGCTTTATTTTCTCTGAAACATTTAAACTTTATACATGCCAATGTATTATACGTTTGTTTATCAAAATTGATAACTTACCTGCAAGGAAGTGCTTGGTCCTATAAAGTATGCATTGCAGAAGAGATCTGATAAGAGAATGCCACAGTCAAGCAGATAAAAATATTTGAAAAATGGCAAAAAATTTGTCATATTACGATAGAAACTATT